AAGCCTGCAAATTTTGCTGTTTCTGAAATTAGAAACTTAATATAGTCAATTTGTAAGGCATCATTTGTATGAAGAACTGCGATGGAGATCTATTGGAAGACTAGAGGCATTACAAAGTCAGACAGAAGTGACCAGGTGGCTAAATTTGAGTCCTACGGTCGTTCATAGACTTGGGCAACAATTTCTAACCACAGGTGCGGCATCCAGAAGGTTCAACCAAAAATGGCCAAATGTTACGACAAGTCCGAAGCACCGATTTAACAGTACTGCGGCTTTATGATAATAAATATTTAGATGTATTACATGCTGACCTATTTTTCATGTAAAAATAAGCTTTTGAACAAGATGAAATAAAAATCAACACTTCTAATTTATGTCATAAATTCTTTTTTGATTTTAAATAAATATAAAACTTTTGTAAAAAATATGCAAGTAAGCATAAGTAAATAATATTACATCAGAAATTTTTGCTACTATCATTCAATATTTTGAATCTAACTTTTTGGTCATTAATATGTATTATCTTAGCTACATTTTCAGTTATTTGATTTATGTTTGAAATTGCTTTATTTTTAATGTTAGATCAAAATGAAGAGGACCTTGCCTATGACACCGTTTGGTTTCTTACAAGCACAGCAAAAAGCATCAGGTGTCAAAGAAATTGAACAAGTACCTCTTGTTATTCAAACTACAGATTCAGCAAAAGTATGTATTTTTTTTTTACTGGATAATCTTAACAGTACATTTTCTGGATTTAAAATGAATTGTTGTTCATGGTTTTCATTAAATTAATATTTTATTTATTTTTATTGATTTCATTGATTATTTTTATTGATTTATTTTTATCTTTACTTACTTTGAATTTGTTGATTGAATTGAAATCTATTAAGGGAAAATCTGGTAATTATTTGAAGCTTTTTTTAAAAAATTCGTTATAGGTTTTTCCAATTTTTTGGCGAAATTTCAATTTTTAAATTTATTTTAGAAAAGTAGATGTTCGTTAAAAAGATCATATTATTCCTTGCTCATATTGACAAAATTTGCGTATCACGCTTTTCAAATTAATATCGTTATTATTTAATTAAAGCAAACTCTGAGCCCTGCATCTCATTTCAATTTAATTCTACTAACACATGACGATTTGTATTCATCCAATTTAAAAATCAGCTATCTTGATCTGCTTTCATACGATTTAAAAATCACCCATCGTGTTCTTCCAACTAATTCAGTTTACAAATAACGCACCTTGATTTGTTTTCACTTAATTTGAAATCGCATGTCATGCATGTCAAAAATTTAACATTATGTTGCATCTACAAGCAATTTAAAAATCCCTCATCGTGATCCGTATTCACATTACGATATCTTTACAGCGTAGACAATATTAAGTCTGCAAGTTAAGAAATGTTTCTAATTATAATTTAAAACATTAACACTTAAATTTAAGGTTCACATAAGGTCTACAAAATATTTTAATTTTTTTTAATAATTTTTCTTTAGCTATGTATATCTTTTTTTTATTACTGAATAGCAACTTAAGTCATGTGAAAAGTGTGTAGGTATTTTTTTCTCTTTAAATAATTTTGCTTAGAATTTTTTTTAAATTCATTTTAACTTTTAAGTTGTTATTGAAATTTCATTAAAAAGAAATATATCAAACCCTCATTTACGAAAATTAGAATTTATAGCTTTCTGAATGCGAAAATTAATAACAAACAAATGAATATATAGATACCCCCTATATACACTTTTTTTCTTATTTTAGTTTTAGGGAGTTTTTTCTTGTATTAATTTCTCTTGTACAATTATTGCTCGTTTCGATTTCACTTTTCAGCTTTTTTTTCCAGCTTCTTATCAAACTCATCCTTGTTAATAATTTTTTTTTTATCAATAAATTAAAATATTTACATTTTTATTTGTTGCTTTCACTAATTTATTGTTTCTGTTTTTTTTTATTAGATAATCTGTTTGCTGTTAGACAATCTATTCTGTTTTATTAGATTTAATAATCCTTTAATTTAAAAATTTTTTTTATTTTTACTTAGAATAAAAATTACAACAATAGAAAAAATATGACATTTGTAACATAATATTTTATTAAATAAAACAATGAGTCAAGTTTTTCAGCATGTCAATAAAACAGATTAAAATTTTATGTTTTAAATGAAATAAAAATGACATTCATGTCAATCAATCAATAGGACATATCAATCTTGAAAAAGAAGTTTATTATAAACTTTATCACCTTTGATAACTACTTTGATAATTTTTTCTTGTTTCTCATTAGTTGTTTATTGAATACTTCATTTTCGCTTTAGTACAAGAATTTCCCTCCCCCATTTAATCTTGTCTTGGTATTTGGAAAAAATAAAAAAAAAAGGAACCCTTGTGTATCTCTCTTTTAGCACTTTTTCATTAATCTAGACTTTACATCATAAACAACTTGCATTCTTCATAATCTTCTATTTTTTTATATTTCAATTGTTTAAAACCAGAAAACTGAGTATTAATTGTTATTTTAATTTATTGAAAAATAAAAATATATGGTATGTGTAAGTTTATACATAGTCAAGAATATGTAACGATTATGTAGTTTTACAATTTCATTATAGTTATATTGTTCTTCGTTGATTTACTATTTAAACTTTTTACTTGACTGTCACTATTAATTTTTTGCTTTTTATTCTTGTCTTATGGTTGAAATAAAAATGTTTTACACAAAGTTTATTCTCTGTTTTTAGATATTTTCTCGATACCGTCACACATCATAATCAAATAGCAATCATGATGCAATTTCGCAGCTCTGTAGATATTTTTGTTACTTTATATATGTTTTAAAAATTTATTTTAGATATTTAAATTAGTTAATATCTCAAATAAATTTAACTTAAGATGTTGTTATCTAAATTTTTTTTTATTTTACTGCAACTATTTAAATTTGCTTAAAAGTTGAGATTCATAATGATCTTTTTATACCAAAGCAGTAACACAACTTTTTTACTGTTGCTTATTCATTAATATAAATATTTGCCTAGTTATTAAAAAAGAAAAAAAACTTTAACTATCTGTTCATATTGCGTTATTTGAAATTAATATATTTATTTTTCCATCTCTTTTTCAGGATTCTATGGACTATCCAAATCCTACCTATATGGATCATTTTGCTATTTGTTCCAAAGTTCTTAGATCATATCTCCGACCGAAGTAAGTAACTTAACAATCTACTTATCTTTATTAATTGTCTATACCTTAACATAAACTAACATTATTTGCTCGAATACATCTTTTTTATGCATATTTGTATTAACCAGTCAAATTTTTAATTTCGATATTTTCTACGTTTAAGAAAAACTAAGGAATAAAGTTAAACCAATTAGTGTATGAATTTTATAATTTTATTATTTTTATTGTTATCTGACACAGTTTATAGTATTTTATTTAATAATACTCACTCTACATTTGTTTTGAAATGCATTATGGTGTAAAAATACTATATTGTGTAATTTTGTGAATTTCTTCTAGGCCAGTTGAAAAATCAGAAACTAATTCAACGTCAGGAACTATTACGAAAGAATGCACAGGAGCAAAGGAGGACTTAAGAAATAGAATGGAATCAATGGAAACAGATTTTAAACAGAAACTAGAGAACTTTTCGAATCATATTACAGACTTCACTTTTTTAAGAGACAGTGTACATTTTACAACAAGCTAGCAGTGTTAAAAATTTTTATAATAAATAAACGTGTAAATAATTTTTCATGAAAATGTTTTTTTTTTAGTGCATAACAAATGTTTTCAATTCATAAGTTGCACAATTTTATATATGTTTTATTACGCTGTGTAGAAAGGCTGGAAAGTTCTTGAATATTTTACATGCCCTGCTAGGCATGCTGATTAACAACATACATGCCTACGTGATATCTTTTTTAAATGTATCTTAATGAAAACATATGAATGTACATATTATTAATCTGTCAATGAAATGACATTAATAACATAATACCTATATCAACACTTCTTTTTAAAGTATAAATTAGAATTATTAATAAATATATAATAACAAGTATTATTTATTATAAATGATGAAATATTAAGCACAAGCAAACATTGAGTTTTGCTTACTTGATAAAAGAACTTAATTTGTTTCAAAAATATATAAGTAAGAAATAACAGTCAACATGTTTCTAACTCTCAAAAATAGACGTACGTTTTTGAGCACTTGAAACATGTTGACAGTTATATCCCAGGGGTCTGTTCAGGCCAAATTTACTACCATTCAGCGATACCTTCACAAATTCAACTTTAGGAAAAACGGT